AAACGCAGTCCAGATGCGTTTCTGATGCCGTTCTCTGTATGCACATTTTTGCCGCATTTGTGATGTGTTCCGGTGCATTTTTGATGCATTCCTGTTCATGTTTCTCTTCTCTTTCTCTTCAACTTAAATAAGGGGACATGTGCGTTCCAGTGCGTTTTTGGTGCTTTTTTTAATGCATTTTACTGTATTCCAGTGCAGTTTCAGTACAGAAAAAAGGCAGCATGTTCTACTTTTTATTTCTGATACTGGAACATACTGGAACAGACCACACTGGTGTGAAACTATACCTATTGCAAACCATATCACCCTACTTTCCATGGGTTTTTTCATGCAGAAAAAAATGCACTGGACTGCATGTGGTGTGAACTGCGCACTAAAGGCTGTGAATTAAAGAAAACGTTGGTTCCACAAAAATACTGACACAAGGGGAGGGGGGTCCTTTTTCCAACTCAGTGATTCCGTTTTTGGATTGTGTGTTTTTTTTTTCTCTGACATGTTGTGTTATTGATATTTCACTTGGATGTTATAAGAGTAAATACAGGTGGATAAAACAAAAACTGTGTCTGTCTTCATTTCAAAGCAAACAAATTGTGATTATTTTAAAAGGGGGGGGGGGGGGTGATGCTGTTCTATACCACTGTGTATGGCCACCTCCTCAATCAGCACAATGGGTGCAGGATGCTATTATGTTCTAAGTACAAACTGATTTAAATTTATTTTTAATTAATAAAGATTGTATAGTTTTATAGATAGCTTGATGAGGTTCCTATAAATCCATGGACTGAGGTCCAATATTTGCTACTTTTTTGTTTTAATGGGGATATAAAACAGATCATTAAAGTGTTACTAAACCCCGGACCCAGCAATTCACTATATCTGGTCTCCCCAGACCCCGCCCATTCACTATATTGGTCTCCCCAGACCCCGCATTCACTATATCATACTGGTCTCCCCGGACCCTGCATTCACTATATCAGGTCTCCCCGGACCCTGCATTCACTATATCAGTCTCCCCGGACCCTGCATTCACTATATATCCGGTCTCCCCGGACCCAATGCCATTCACTATATCTGGTCTTTTCGGACCCTGCATTCACTATATCTGGTCTTTCGGACCCCCTGCATTCACTATATCTGCTCTCCCCGGACCCTGCATGCACTATATCTGGGTCTCCCCGGACCTGCATTCACTATATCACAGTGTCTCCCCGACCCTTGCATTCATATATCTGGCTCTCCCAGGACCCTGCATTCACTATATCTGGTCTCCCAGGACCCTGCTATTCACTATATCTGGTCTTCCCCATACCCTGCATTCACTATATCTGGTCTCCCGGACCCTGGCATTCACTATATCTGGTCTCCTTCGGACCCTGCCCTTCCTATATCTGGTCTCCTTCCGGGACCCTGCATTCACTATATCTGGTCTCCAGGATCCCTGCATTCACTCTGATATCTGGTCTCCCCCTAGACCCGCATTCACTATATCCGGTCTCCCAGGACCTGCATTCACTATATTCCGGTCTCTCCAGGACCCGATGCATTCACTATATTGGTTTCTTCCCCAGACCCCTTGCATTTACAATATCTGCTCTCCACGGACCCTGCATTCACTATATCCCGGTCTCCCAGAACCGCATTCACTATATCCAGCTCTGCCCAAAACCCTGCATTCTCTCGCTATATCCGCTCTCGCAGGATCCTGCATTCATTTATTATCCGGTCATCCTGGACACTCGCATTCACTATATATGGTCTCCCACAGTACACAGAATATGGAAAATTTGGAATGCCATTTATTTTAGTAAATATAAACTGCTAAATACACATTTTCTCATCAGCAGTTAGAGCAGTCTTGAGAATTTCCTATCAGTGTCCAGATCCAATCATTAGCTAAAGCTTGTAGGAAGATTTTTTTTTTTTTTTGCTCTAGGAGGATGCAAAACACCCTCCTGACTTCTGTCTGGACAGTGCTGATTGGCCCTGTGCTAATCACAATGCACTCTTCCAAGAAAAAAAAACTCTCTAGCAATATACACCAAAACTGGAGCATGTGCAAATGCCTACGATCCGTCTGGTCTTCCTCAGGAGATAAGTGGTGGTCGCTTGTGAACAAGGGGAGGAACAGAGCAGTCAGGATCCAATGGCCTTTTGTTTTACACAAGCAGAGGATTAACCTTTAGTTCCACAGTGAGTATAACAAGCATGCTTTACTGCATATACAGGACCAGGGGCGGGACTGACAACTCATGGGGCCCCCAGGCAATAGGGCATCATGGGGCCCCTGTGTCTTTGCCCACACTCAAAGCACACCCAAAAAAGCCTATAAAAAGGTACCAGGGGCATTTCATGGGGCCCTCTACTGACCCCGGGCCCTCGGGCAGTGCTCGTGAATGCCAGAATGGTCAGTCCGACCCTGATACAGACTGATTGTGCTGTTTGGGGTTAATTAACAGTTTAAACAAGGAGAAAGATTAATTCCAACTCTAACCAGAAGGTGGCGCCCTTATCACACAAATTAGTACAAAATCCAGCAATCTGTTGTCTTTGCATCTGTCAATAGAAAATGTCAGATATGTTAATGAATGTGAGAGATATCTGTGGAAAGCGTGCCTAGTCAAAGCTTGTATGTTGTTTTGGATAGAGCAGGGAATGGGTAAACCCGTTATTTTTTTTTAAGTATAATTATTCTTTTCAATGGGACTGCTGCCTCCCATTGGTGGAATTTACCCTCACTTCCTGTTTTGGAGACGGATAATAGTGAGAAATCGCCTCTCTGACACTTGCTGTTAGAACGGTGTGCTCATTGGAAGACGTCACTGTACCATATGTTCTGGTGACATTTTGGAATTTTTCTTTTACTCTCTCTCCTTGTGAAAATGATCACCTGGACCAAAAAAAAAAAAAGCGAATCTCCTCTATGGGGAGAAATCAATAAACAAAGCTTTGAACCATTTTCCCAAAAAAAAAAAAAGTAAAAAAAAGTCTGCTATGTACCATACACAAAAATATTTATTTTGTTACATTATAATTGGTATAAACAGGATTTCCGCTAGTGAGTAGAGATCGCATTTATAAAGAAAATATACATAGTTGTTCCTCCATCAAAAAAACTGCATGTACATTTTGTTCATTGTGATGTGAATGTACTATATATATATATATATGTGTGTGTGTGAGTAAAAGTGCTGCGTAAATTGAGGGGCTATATAAGTACCTGTAATAGATAAATAAATAATTGTCGTGACAGGAGCAAAATCGAATGTTCTCCGCAGAACAAAACGTGAATGTGGAAAATACCACATTATGTCCGCTAGATGGAGCTGAAGAGCAATGCTTGTTTCCTATAATAGTCAGCGCCATCTACTGTCCAGAATATAGTATTTTCTGTATTCACACATTGCAACTGCAGGAAATATTCGATATTGCCCAAGTCAGAAAGAACACAATTTACATGGCCTAGATTCGTTCCTGGATACACAGAATATAACTGGATACTAACATTTATAAGTAAAGTTGATCCAGGGAATATCCGATTGCCTCTCGGGGGATCAGGAAAGAATTTTTTTCCCCCTGCAGGATTTAAATTGGGATCATGCTTTTGTTGGGTGTTTTTGCCTTCCTCTGGATCAACTGTGGGTATAGGATTCTAATTTTTTTTTTTTTAATGGTTGAACTGGATGGACTTTTATCTTTTTTCAGCCAGACTAAACTATGTAATTATGCATCTTACCCAGGGAGGACACATCCCCTCTACAGGATACTCACAGGGAAACATGCACAGCTGAAGCTGTCAATCACCTGCTGTACGCTGGAGTGGGGGATGGGGGTCGTCTCCCAGGATTGTCTGGTGTCCACATAAACTGTCTTAATTTTTTTAATGGATGAAACTGGATGGACTTTTTATCTTTTTTCAGCCAGACTAACTATGTAATTATGTATCTTACCCAGGGAGGACACATCCCTCTACAGGATCTCACAGGGAAACATGCACAGCTGAAGCTGTCAATCACCTGCTGTACGCTGGAGTGGGGGATGGGGTCGTCCCCTCAGGATTGTCTGGTGTCCACATAAACTGTCTTAAATTTTTTTAATGGTTGAACTGGATGGACTTTTGTCTTTTTTAGCCAGACTAACTATGTAACATGCCGTGTATGAACAGCCATGCAAATCTTTTCATAAATACACTGAGGATGAGATGTACTAAATCTAGTGCAGCTGTGCACGGTAGCCTTCTAATTTCAGCTGCTTCAGTTAAGCTTTGGCAATAAAACCTGGAAGCTGATTGGTTTCTATCAGGGGTGGACTGACAACTCATGGGGGCCACCGGGCGATAGGGGATCATGGGGCCCCTGTGTCCCTTGCCCAAACTCAAAAAAAAGCCTATGAAAAAGGTACCAGGGGCATCTCATGGCCTACTGACCCCCGGGCCACTCGGGCAGTGCCCAAGTTTCCCAAATGGTCAGTCCGCCCCTGGTTTCTATTACAGAGCTGAGCCAGATTTTACACCTTCCAGTTTTAGTAAATAACCCTCTATAATAAAGCTCACACAAATCTAAAAATTTCAATCTTCTGATCATGTCATTTAAAAACCACACAAACAGAGGGCACCTTCAATGAAAATGGAATTTAAAAAACAATCATTAAATCAGGACGATTTAGACAGCTGGTGTTATAATGCAACTCCATTTTACCACGCCTTGTCTCACCCATGCAGAAGCATTGCTATTGGCCGCTGAGGCTGACTATTGGCATTGGCTGACATTGGCTGAAATCCACGGGGGATTACATCAAGAGGCGTAAACTGAAGGTTTTGCCATGGCCTTCACAATCTCTGACCTCAACATAACTGAAAAATCTATGGATAGACCTTAAAAGAGCAGTGCGTGACAGACAGCCAGAAATCTCAAAGAACTGGAAGACTTTTGTAAGGAAGAATGGGCAAAGATACCTCAAACAAGAATGGAAAGGACTCTTGGCTGGCTACAAAAATGCGTTTACAAGCTGTGATACTTGCCAAAGGGGGGCAGTACAAGATATTAACTCTGCAGGGTGCCCAAACTTTTGCAGACGCCATTTTTTTTGTTTTTCTGTTATTTTGAAAAGTGTAACTGATGGGAAAATAAAATCTAACTTTTGTTGACATATTATAAGAATGTCTAATCTGTAATTTGATGTCTTTGTGGAGATTTTTCATCTTTCTTGGCTTCTGTATGCAATTATTACAAATCTTTAGCTGGGGGTTCCAAACTTTCGATCCCCCCACTGTATATATATATTTTGTGTGTTAATTTTCTATTTATTTATATATAAAGTAAATGTATTTATCAATACCAGTTTGTATAATATTATATATATATATATATAGTATATATAGTTATATATATGGCACACCCGCTTCTGAAGACGTACTATTGTACGAAACGCATCTTGGAGAGAGCCTGCAAGCCTTTGGACGTCCACGCCACCGGGTCACGGAGATCCGGTGGTCATATTTGATCACCAGCTGGTTTAGTGCTCATAACAACCTGTTTTTTGCTGCAATATCCTGCCTACTGCTTTCATACAGCCCTTGGCATATGTCCAGCATTTTACATGTATGAGGATTTCTATATATGTTTTGCTGCTGCATAACATTCTTCATTAAATTTTATCTGACAATACTACACTATGGGTATTTCCATTTGTTACTCCCTGCTTTGTGAGGATTTAATCCCCCAGAGCTCCCCCTGGTGATTTTATCCACGGTACTGAAGAGGCTGCACCCGTGTCTTTAAAGGTTGTGTCTTTAAAGTGGACCTCCGCTTTTTGAGAAACATCTACCTAGACAATGTCCATCCACCCTAGGCTGGCTACAGTTGCACCCTGAAAAGGATCCCCCTGGCAGACCTCCATTTTGCTGATACATTGGCGCATTTTCTTTGCGCTTCCGGTGAGTAGCGCATTTTATACATACCCTGCCCCTCACCGATTTTTTATTCAAACCACGACCGTGGGATCAATATATCACCTTGAGCTCATATATTGTGGACAATATTACCCTTTTTATGAACATTGTTTCCATGAATTTGTCTGAATAAAAAAAAAACCTAGCAGCGCTTGCAACTTTTTCTTATAGTCTATACAAATATAATATCTAACATATTTATATATATATATATTTATATATAATTAATTTATATATATATACATACACACACACACACATTTTATTTTTTTTTGTGTTTAATTTTCTGATTTTTGTATTTATATATAAAGTGAATGCCTTTATCGATACAGTTTGAATATATATTATATACATACACACACACACCACATTATATATATTTATATATATATATATTA